AGATTGGAAATTAATTGTCGTGGATTGACGGGCAACGTCGTCGGTGATAATGCTTGTCGACGCGAATTTTTTTCTATAAATTTAACGCCGCAGCGATAATGAAGCGATCGAGATGTAATCTTTGAGAGCACGGTTATAATCGGTGCGAAATATTCTCGTTCGACGAGTCGGAGAAGTGAGAGAGAAAGAGAGAGAGAGTGGACCGAGTAATCTGGGGAAGAGGACGCTTACCTAATAAATCATTGGACATCGATAAGAGTCGTTGCGGCGGTGTCCCTCGTTAATAATTGATACAATTAACAGCCATTCATTAGAGAGCTGCTCGCGTATACAGGCTCCAGAACGTGGCAATTCTCATATCCACGCAATTTACATTTCGCCGATCTGTTTTCGCTCGTTATTACGGTGGATTTAGCGCGTGTCGCGCTTTGATCAATCTTCCGTCCATCCTTGTGTCACCTGAGAGCTAATAATTTACGTTTTATGTCAGACACGGCGCGTTACCTTGCTCGCTCCGTGATTTTATTTCGCTCCACTGCATCTGTGGGATCGTGCTCGTGGATCCGATTAAAATCGATTCGGGCGATTATTTCAGCTGTTAATTGCGCAGTCCCATGCCGTTTCGCAGTGTATCGTTTATGCACTTGACGTGAAACTCACCTGTATTACCTCGGGACACGACAATCTCACGAGAATCAGCGCGATTTTATTAACAGTTTTATGCGCCTTCAGGGTTATCAGAGCAATATGGGATTGCTTGTTTTTACAGAATCGGAGAAATTACGGCAGTCGTTTCGGTTTCTCTCAGCTTGTCCACGAGTTTATCTCTTCAGGCACAGAATCACTTCGAGATTTATTGCATCCTTCGGTTTCTCACCCGGTTTCCCATCTTTCCGTGTTTGATCGCTCTCCCTTGGATCAAAATTCTTTTTCCTATATGTTTGGTTCCACGTTTCCTCACTTGGATCACGGACAACAAGGGCACACGCGACGGGGAATAATTTCCGTGCGAATTTGTAGGAGCGAAGCGCTCGTTAATTAATTAGGTTTTTCGAATTGATAACGATGCGTCCCATCAACGTGGCGGCGTTTATACATATGCATTACGATTTTATGAATTCTTTTCCGCGCGAGTGAACGCCCGGCCCTTCCTCGGCGCGCACAGTCGACCATTCACTTTCGTTTGACTTTCTCTCTCTCTCTCACTCTCTTTCCCTCTCTATCTGATAATCTCTTTGGGAGTCTCACTTTCGCTCGTCGGTCGCCATCTCGTTCCTTTTTCCGCCGTCGCGCGCGTATGCGGACTAATTAATATGAGCTGTGTACGAGCCCATCTGCCCGGCACAAGGTCCACCTATGCGGGTACCGACCTGACTGCGCGTTATAACGATCTCATCAAGGTCGTATCACGACTTCACCGTACTTTGTTGGAAGTGTTGAAAACGACCGGTATATTACGCGGGAAGATTTATGCCGAGCGGCCGAGATCGAATTTAATTTCCTCAAAAATCGTTTGCAATCAATTATAAGATGCTAATCGTGCTGCTTTAACGAACCGCATCACGGAACGGATTGACCTGCCAGGCGGATTTTTTTTATTCATTATTCTTTTAACCTTGATACTCACTTTAATCTTAAAATTTACATTTATATTAATAATGACAGTTATGTGTATACGCTCCAATTATAAGAAGAACGTTGGCAACACGTTATTTAATATATGGACGTACGTATAATGGAATCGATTGGCGTAAAAGTGGGGCAGTGGTGCATGCATTTACGTCACTGACAGCATCCAGTTAATTTTGTCAATCTAAAGAATGGCGTATATTAATTGGGAACTCTGGCGACAAGTGCACAAGCATCCTTCATTATTCGCAAGAACTGAACGAAGACACGCGCTTCTTAATAATTCCATTATTCTTTTATTGACGTTCTATCATTCTCCCTACCTATGTTATAATGTAAATAAATAAATATAAATTTTTTAAATTAATGCTTTTGACAATAGTTTTTGTTAAATAAAATTAGTCCATAAAATGGTTCGAATCGTAATTTTGAAATTAAATTCATTGATTTTTTATCAATAAAACTATTCGAATTTTATTCTATGAATGGGACGATCTTGGACGTTCACAAAATATCCATGAGCTCTCACCAGATGTTCGGAGTGCAGCATCCGTGAGGTGCGAAACCCCAACACAGTGCTCTCATTTACACTTTCGTACGTGCGCGCATCGCGTATTTCGTGCGTACATCACGCATCCGTTGGTGCAGCATGCATCACGCGTCACGGTGTAGTGACGCTCGAATGGAAGCAAACGGGGGGGAAAAGAAAGGTAGAAGGAAACAGTACGCGCGGTGACGAGAAGGAGAGAGCGCAAGGGGAGATACTCAAAGTGGGGGGCACCCTTCGCCGTCGGGCGTTGCTTCCGACTGCGTCGTCCCTGTCGGCTTATAAATAACACCATCTCCCTGTTTCTTCGTGTGTTTCTCAGTTTTTCTTCTGCCTCCGCGCTTCTTCCTCCTCCGACTCCGGCCGGGGCCTTCTGCCTCCCCTTCTGCCCGGGAGATACTTGGCCGCTCGCAAGCCTAATTAATAACACGTGATGAGCGATCGTGGCAAAACCTCCCGAGCCGAAAGATTGCAAGCGAAGCAAGAGAGCCGACGAGGAGAATATAAGAGAGAGAATGAGTGACGGGGAGTGACGTGGCCTGGACTAGACATCACGAAGAGCATCATTCGCGATAGAGTTAGAGTTACAGACAAGCGTACACTGTTGTGGAAGATCTACCGGAAAGACAGCGAATACATTATTTACGTCTCGACGAAATTATAAATTTTCTTGCGTAATTATTACGAAGAAACGTAATAGGGTCATAAATAACTCGTCATGATCAAGTATATGACGTAATAATTTTCCGTTTAATTCGCACACTTGAAATTCGTACATTTCTTAGTTTAAAAAATGAATTATTTCCGATAAATTTTGCAAATTCGTGTGTCAGAACGAGGGATATTCGCGGTTGCTGTTCTCGCGCGATCGGCTAACGACGAGTATGCACGAGAGCTCGCGCTATATCGTGGTAACTACGTCGTTATTGGTCGGGGAAGCAACAAAACCGTCGGATATAGAGAACACATTGTGTATAACGTCGGAGGCGAGGAGGAGAGACGAGAAACACATCGTGGCGAATCGTCTCCTCGCACCATCTCGCGAAGGAGCACCCGGGTGTTCTGTGTTGTGTGTTCGTTACTGGACCGATACCATCTTCGTTTTTTCTTCCGCTCTCTCCTCTCTCTCTCTCTCTCAGCTTCATCGCGTTCTTGTTTCTCTTTTTATCTACTCTCGCCCTTTCTTCCTTCTTGCTGTCCGTTCGTCGACGAGGAGGAGCTCTGAAGTGTCGAAGACCCGATACATATTCTTTTGATGCTGACGGTTCGTCGTCAAATGTACAACGCGAACTATTGTTCCTTATTCCACTGGTAATTTCGATTCTTCGCTGTCATTGATAATTTCGATACCGAGCGAATCTGACAGCTCCCGAATAAGATTACTTGCAATATTTTCGCAAGTACGGATGCATAATAACCGTCCATACTTTGTTTCGATTTATGGATCATCTTTCTTTTTAGTATCGCTACTTCTTCGATATCAGCTAAGTATTGATAGGAGAATAGTATATAAAAATAAATTTTTTAGTAAATATATATAAATCCCATAATCTTCCGTTTTATTACACTCGAAACTTTTTTTCTCTATTTATTCCATACAAGCGCTGAAATGCACTTCGCCGAGGTGATATCTAGGCTCGCTTGTCGCTCGTGGGTAGTTACCAGACGTTATACCTGCCTCGCTTAGAGCGTATCCTTCCATGCCGAAAGGATGATGAGAGGAGGGCAGAAGGTGGTATAGGGTAGGCCTCTCGGATGAGCCCACTATCTCAGGGAGCACTCATCGCGACCGCTTTCGTTATCGGCCGCGCGGAATCATAATGGACCATAATTGCATAAATATAATGTTAATTAACAATTAAGATTGCCGCTTTGCCTAATTGAATCGCCGCTTCTGCTGTCCCCGAGAGAGAGAGAACGACGTCGTCGCAACGTACGGTCTCTCGTCTTCGCGTAGAGATTGCATTCGGGGGATCTCAGGGTGGCCTTAAACGTTAACGGCGTATCGGAAAATTATACCGACGGTCCTTCCGAGGACGCGCCTTCGATACCGCGGACACATCTCAAAAAGGAAAGGGGAGAAAAAAGGGAAAGAAGACAATTATTACCTTTCGATGTCGCAGAGGCACGCTCGCTTATCGAACTTTATATTCTGGTACTTTTCTAAGCGTTGCGACGGACACGCGTTGCACGCATCGCGCGATTGAAAACGTCGTGGTAGGTTTTTTAAAAATAATTTTTCATTTCTTTTTTCTTTTAACAACTTGAAGAAATAGAAGGGAGTCGCCGATCAGCAGCGAACGAACGTACCGTGTCGGCCCCTTGTATCTCTCTCTCCGTGGTCGTTTACCCGCGATATCGAGTATCATCGCTGTACGCTGCGCGAATTCCGCGCGACCGGGTTCAGATATGCAATTAGCGAAACGCAGATGCAATAATAATGAATTCCCGTTAATAACTGTCGCGCCGGCGCAACTATCGCTGCAGCATCGCGCGACGGCGGATATTTACCGGAAGAGATAAATGGAAAGCACACGGGCGCGCGTAAATAAAAAAATAAAAGGTCGAATCCCCGGCCGAAGAACTGTGACCGTCGATCTGTTGCCGAGCTGCCGTTGACGATGCAGCAGCGTGTGGTTAAATCATGTCTGCTTCATGTTCCTTCTGCCCTGTCGTCCTCCCCGATCCCTGCAGCCTTCCCTTCGTCATCTCTTCTCTCCCTGCAGCATCTCCGAACCCAGCCTCTTAACCATCCAATGCCTTTTTTCTGCCTTCGCGTCCGGCGAATGTATTTTATTCAATTCTTTTTTTTCTCTCGTTTCAGATGGTTCAGGCGATTCAAGTCCTCCGGTTTCACCTCCTCGAGCTCGAAAAGGTGAGTATCCTTCACGTCTGCATTATGAGGCTCATAACGTTATTACCAATCCAACTGATGCGTTACCGTAATCATCTGTTCCTTCATTACTTATAACGTCGTATTTACTTTTTCTTGTCACAACGAATAGCTTTTGGTTCGAAATTATTTCGCACGATTAATATATTTTTATAACGTTAAAAAGTATTACCTATTTTCTAAAATTTACTTATTTTATCTTTGATCAGAATCGAATACATGTAGCGCGATTCTGAAAATATTACCGGCTTACGTAAACTCGCGTTATACTTTCCTTAAAAAGTATTGCGCGAAAATCACGTGTTGCTGATGCAAAAAGCAGTTTTCTACTTAAAACTATAGCGTATACGGTCGAGTGGAAATTCTCGCGATTGGTCTTATTGTGAGAGATAACCGCGCCCGCCTGCCGATAAGTTGCCTTTAACACCTGAAAAACGACTGTTATGACTGCGGGGGCAATTTTCCGTAATTGCGGTGAAAGCTCGACATCTACGGCGCGCATTCGTTGAGACTACGACGCGAACGGACTCTACCACGTAAGTGGAGTCATTTTGCTGTCCAACGGCCGGACGGCGACGGACGCTTTACCTCGTTCGCAGTTGTTTGCTTTGGAATGGTAGTTTCATTTCTCGTTCGTTTTTTTCCTATCTTTTTTCGTTCGTCGCAACACCTCCCCTTCTTTCTGATTGGCGAAACGAAATGACAATGCGCGCCGATACCTTTACCAGCCGGTCAGCCGGCACGGCGCGGCGTGGAATTACATAGCCGTGCAAACGGTGAAAGTGAGACATCTGTCGAGGGAAATTCCGAGATCGTGGGCTTTTCATCGGGCGGCGGCGACGCAAACGAACGAGCCAACGAGCTCGTTTCGTCGCGGCGTCTTTCGTCTCTTACCTGCAGATTGCCGCTGTGTTTTACGAGATTCTCGGAAACAGCGCGCGTTTCCTTTTTCCTTGCAATGTCGACGAGAGAGAGGTAGGCTAATAGGGCTCTCTCGCTCTCGGTGCAACGTGCATGGATTTTTTGATAGATCCCTCCGCCTCTCTTCTCGAACGGCTACACCCGCGGGATACTGGTGGCCGGTCTGGTTTACCCAGACATTTTTTTGCGGCAATATTTTATCATACAAAATAGCGGACATCCATCGCATTTCCATCGAAATGGCAGCTGACGTGGCGGCAGCCATTGGTCGCCGCGCGCTCTCGAGACCTCTTCGCGATGCCTCGTCTGTCGGTCGGCCCTCTCATTCGTCCCGGTTCGATCGCGCGCAATTTTACAGCAATTTTTCTCCTTTAAGGCGATCACATTATTATAATGCCGCACCACCCGCGGCGGATTCAAGTATCTTCGATGCGCCAAAATCAGCATAGTATTAGTCTCATAAAGATCTATATTCATCCACGACGAAAAATTGGCTCAAGTCCTACCTCGGCGTCACGATGCAAATGAAATTCGTATCGATAAAATGGAATGGGAGATGAGAAATAAATTTTGTAACAATTTTATACAAATTTAAGTCAGCGGATAAATCATCGCGAAATGCGTTTCTACTTTCGCGTTACCTTATCTGTATCGAGGCAAATGAATTTACTAATTGGGGCTCGCTCGAAATTACAGCGACGTTTCAGTTGATCGTGATAACACTTATTACTCGTTAGCCGTGCCTCTAAATTTGCCCTCGTTAATGGAAGCACACGATCGAAGAAATTAGCGGACGCGCGCTGCGAGAGATAACACAGAGATGGTTGGCGGGGTGTATTCTTCGCACTGGAAACGATGCCGCGAAAATACTCGATACTCGGTTACCAGTACGCGTAAAACGGGCTTTCTCACGTGCGTCGTAACCCCCTACCCCCGCAGTCCGGAGACGAAACGCGGCTTGGCACGCCATCGATGGTAACGGAGATTGAAACGTTTCTGGTCCCCGGGGCCTCTTCTAGACAAGACGAGACGAGACGCGAACGAGCGGAGCGGAATGCAGCGGGCGCGATGAAGAAGATTCCATAAATATCTGTGCTCGAAGTGGAGGAGAGAAAGAGGAAGACGAAGAACGCAGAGTGAGATAAAGAGAAAAGGAGAGAAGGAAAGAGAGCGAGAAAGAGAGAGAGAGAGAGAGAGAGAGAGCGCAGCGTAAGAGAGAAAGGGAACCAATGGAGGCAGGCTCATGGTAGCCCGCGGTGTTCTGCCTCGTGCATTTAACATTTTCGAACCAATCGCGTATTAGCATAATTACGTTTTGCCGGGCCCGGTGCGCGGAAGGAAGGTCCGGTCAGGCCCTTTTCCTTTCTCTCTTTCTCTCTCTTTTACTCTCTCTCTCTCTCTCTCTGTCTTCGCGGCATTTTCTGATGGCGCGACCGTCTCTTTTTCTCCCTTTCTATCGTCCTACTCGCGCTCGTCTCTTCTTCCATCGCAGAACTCCGGACAGCCGCCTCCCGTACACCGGTTAGAGAGCGGTAAATTTCTTATGGGATATTATGGCGTACACAGTGCATACCAACGGGATTCGTACTGGTACAACACGCGGGCGACCTCCTCCTGCCCGTGGACGTGCCGGGTACGGAACTGGTTCTAAACCTATGCCACAGCGCACGTTGCTCTCTCTCTCCTTCCTCTCTCTCTCTCTCTCTCTCTCTTGCTGGAATATCCTTGTGTTCCAGCATGCATATGTACATGCCTTAGGAATTTTTGGATGTCCCTTACGGGATCTTGACCGAGGCACTCGCTAGCAATTAAGTTTTAACCGGCTCGTAATGAGATTTTTATGCGTAAATAGACATCTCATAAATTTATTCGAAAGATAACGAGGCGTCGCGAGTTTATTCGATACATATAGAATTCGTGGAGATTTTTATTAGAAGTGATATGGATTAATTTGATGGCGTTGGAAAGAAATTTGGGACGGGTTTCTCATCGTCATCGATACCGCGGTGAGGAGGAAAGGAAGCGATGGGTCCCCGACCGTTCGTCATGCACACCCGGTATACAGATATCCTGTGCGTGCCGTAAGGGTGGTCAGGTTGCGAATCGGGCCGCGAGAGAGAGAGAGAGAGAGAGAGAGAGAGACCGAGACAGACACCCCGAAACCTTCATTACCTTCGGCTTCAAAGGAGCCCATTGTGCCGTAAATGGGGTTCCCCCGTGTTCCTTCTTTTCTACTCTCTCGCTCGTATGTACCTTAGATCCGTTCCATTCTTCGGCGTTTGCCTTTCCGAGAGTCCGTGAAGAGACGAGGTAGGAAGGAACAAGGCGGATGTAAGATAGGGAGACGTTTACCCGTTCTTTCCTCCGTTTACGTAAATTTTCGAGCAATTTCGGTGCCGAATGAAAGACGGTACCGAAGTCCCCCGGGTTCGTATAATGTCACAGCGCGCGCGGAGCACTCTCTTTCCTTCCACGACAAGGCGCTTGAGAAAAAGGGCAGAAACGTTTAATAGGTCTTTTTGAATGGAGAACTGGTTTCGGAGTAGCTGTTCTGTCTCCGTCTTTGAAACGACATGTAAACACATGGAACAATCATGTAATATCACAAGTAATAAGTTTGTAATTAATCAAATTTCTGTGCGCGTGCTTCCGTGCAATCTCTATATGCAGTTTATTATTTTAAAGTAATTATATTAGTTACATACATGCGATTATATTTTTTATATTGTCAAAATTTGAACAAAATTAAAATCAGGATTGCTGCAGTAATTTCGATCTGGAATTTGAATCAAAATCTTGTGTATTCTTGCCGTGAGGAAAATATCGTCAAAGATAACTATGTATCAAATAGTATTTAATAAAGCATCTATATAAGGAGACTTTGTGAAAGAGATCAAATTGTTAAATTGTATGAAATGGAATAATCTCGAATTAGCAGTCATTGTTAAATGAATTTCTTATGATATTTTTACATTTCGCTAACTATTCTTTCAAAATAATATTTATAATACAAGTCTATTGATATAATTATCTTCAAACAATCGTGTAGACGCGATGACGATGACTGTTTTATTCACACGATTGATAACTTAAGGAGCAACCGGAAGACGAAATCGCTCATCGATTTCAAATGTCGTTTCCGCTTTCGCTCGAGAACATCGATGGAAATAGTATTATCGCAGCTGTTTAAATCTTTGATCGCAGCGTCCTCACTAAAAGTTTAATTCGATCGATACTAACCCTCGATTCGAAATTGAATCGTAATTTAACTTGTGCTGAAACTTTAAGTAGCATATTCAGATCCCGAGGACTATTTTCGTACGGCGTCCAATTACGGGCGTGGGGCGGGTTCGCAGCCCGAAATTTGTTTCGCTCGCCTTCGTTCGCCAGATAACGGGCCACTTTGTCGTATCGCGCACCACGAGATATTCTTGAACGACATTCTCTCCCCGAAAAGATCAGACTTAACCACGTTGTCTTTTTGCTGTTTCGATGACCGCCAAAAGCGATCTCGGAAAAGGGAGATGCGAGCGATCGAGCGTCCCGTCCGTCGCCGGGGACGACCTCCCTGTATCTTGTATCAGTCCCCTCCGAGATCATCGTTCACGGTATAGGATGACGCGATTCAATGGTAGGATAGATTGCAAAAATTCGCGTGCTTCAAGGCGATCGTATCATGTTCTGTGTCATAGTTGAAACATTCAGCCATCGATCTCCTGCCGGAATTTCCTTTTTCCCGATAATTTCGAGACGTAATTAATGTCAGTTTTACTTATACAAATTAACATTAATCTGATAAATTAATATTTTATAAATATTTCGATTTTATTTTGATTTTCTATAAAAATAATATAAATTAATTATTCTCAAGTCGATTATTTATGCAAAACGTAACAAAATTGAAACACATTTCTAAAATTGTAAAAGATTTTTTTTCGATGTAATATCAAAGCGAAGGATTGATTCGATGCGTTAGAGGGTTAGACAGTGAGAGGGGGACGCAGACTTTTTTCTTAATTTTTTTCTTCCGCTGAGCATTGTCGCTCGGTTCGACTCGACTCCCGACGGATCAAATTCTAACCAGTCCAGCATTATAGCCGCTGTCCTTCGGAGTCCTTCGTCTCCTCCTACCCGCCCTTAGATCCCTACATTAAAGAGAGAGAGTTTAGTCATCCCGAGGAAGGCATTGTGTTACTGCGTCGCGGTGGTAACGTCGAGGCAAATAACGCAGGAAAAAAGTTCCGGTTGCCGCGCGATAGAAGAAGCGCGGTCGGATCGGAGGTTGTCGCGCGCATTTTATCGGCGCGACCGATGAGAGGCCCCCTCAGTTTTGAAGAGAGGTAAACGAGCGTGACGAATGTTAGCCGATCGATGCGAAATACATCGTCGTCCTGTAGTGACTTCGCATAATACACATAACGATCTTATTGATCGCCCCTTAATGATATCGTCATTGAGTCACCTTTCGCTGAGCGAAAACGGCTCGATAATCTTGCAATCTTGTCCAATGTGCGAAACGTTCGATTAGACCGGTGGATTTATTCGCAATGTCGATTATCGCGAGCACCAAAGTCAGTCTATTTGTTCATTTACCTTTCTCGCTTCGAGCGATCAAGAACGAACCGCTCGTCGCCGAGTTTCTCGGTCGGTCGGTCGGTCGGGGGAAACCCGATTGCGAGTCTTCTCGCATGCGTTTAACGGATGATAAACACGTGCATTGTCCTACGTTCGTGTTCCTGATACACGCCACCATTGGATGGTGCCGCCTACGGCAAAGATGGCCGTCTTCTCTATTATATATAAATGCTTAATAAGAGTATTATAAGTGAGCTCACTCTCTCTCTCGCTCTCTAGGTTGATAGAGGCGGGCAAGGTAATGCGTGCAAGGTAGCCCCGGGAACGAAAGACGATGGAAGAGAGGGTGTACGTTTGCGAGGGCCGTACGCGGCTTCGTAATATCTCGACTCGCCGACAATTTACATATAACAAGATAACGAATTTTATTTGCTTTTGCTTATATAATACGTTTATTCTAAACGGAATCAAGGAGGCGAATCAGGCAGGAGGATAGGGTCGAGGGACGGGGGGAATAGGGCGAGGGTTGGAGAATGAGTCGAAAGGGGGACGGAGGAGGACCGGCTATCCTATAGGCCTGTCAGGCTTCATTTGCATACATAACATTCTGGTCGACTGGACACCGGTCAGATCTCCTCTCTATCTCCCTTTCTCTTGCACTCTTTCTACGTTCGTTGCATCGGTTTCTCTTCAGCCTAGCCAGACCGCTTCTACGGTCTCGAGATGCGCGCACCCTCCTTCTCCTCCATCTTCGTGTATCGATACGCCGCGTTCGAGCCCGCTGTTGATCGCGTCTCTTTTATTTTTTATTTCTCTCTGTTTCTTTTTCCCCCGCGCCTCATCCTACAATAAGATTCTGCATCAGTTGGATCTATTCGACGGAGTATGTCTATTAATCATTTCCGGTGGCGCGGTTAATCAGCCGCGCCTCCCGTTGTAAAGTATCTTTTAGAAAACGGTATCTCGGTTCTCCAATGGAGAAGAACCCATCTAATTGGTTCCCGAGTCTTCCTCATGACTAACGAATGTTCTTTCCCTTGCGTTCCAGGTACACGAGCTGTGCGACAACTTCTGCCACCGGTACATCAGCTGCCTGAAGGGCAAGATGCCGATCGACCTCGTGATCGACGACCGAGAGAGCTCGAAGCCACCCGAGCTGGGTAACGGTCTGGACGGCAGCGGACCCAGAAGCACCGCCGACAGCACCAGCCATACGGACGGGGCCAGCACGCCGGACGTCGTGAGTACCTCACCATCGTCAACGTCTTACTATCCGCACGACGCGCTCACCCCCCACCATCACCATCACCATCACCACCATCACCATCACCAGAGCCAGAATAATAACAATAATAATAGTAATCACGCCGGTATCGGCAGTACCGCCACTACCACCCCCCTGCAACTGAGCAACCAAAACCAAAGCCAAAACCACCACCCTGCGCCGCAGTCGAACACCACCACTACTACTGCTATTACCCCAAGTAGCGCCGCCACAACTCCCAACTCCCTAAAGCGTTCGCACCAACAGATGATGATGGCAGCCGCGATGGCCACCTCGCCGCACGCAGCCGCATCCGCGCCCCCAGCGCACGCGCACGCCGCCCTCGCCGCCTACAGCATTAGCTCGGCCGTTTATCCGTGCTCGTAATAGACTACGCGACTTCCGTGCCGATTTCGCGAGATCTCTTTTTCTACTTCTTCTTCTCCTCTCTTATTCCTCTCGTGACATTATTCTTCCCGTTGCTTATCTCCATGATTCTATATCTCTTCTTCTTTTTGCCATCGTGTCTCGCTATTTCGTTCTCTTCGTATGGTTCGTCTAGCGTCGAATGTCCAATCGGACAGACGCGACTAGGATGATGCGTAGGACATAGCTTAGCGCCGTCCCTTCGGGATTGATCGCGCTCGCGATCGATTCGGCCCGTCCTTCAAGGGATGACCGATCTCTCTCTCTGGTAAAACCGAAAGTGACCTGTATGCCGTGATAATTGAATCGCGACTCACAGTGAGTTAGGTCAGATGTGCTCTTGGACTCGCCTTCTCGGCGAGATCATACACGCGTGGGAGTCGAAACACACGAGTCCGTGCCATGCCGGGCCTGTACTCTATAGGGAGAGACGGTACCTAGCACCTGATCAATGTCGAGACGCGAGTATGCGTGGGTAGCCGCTTCTGGAGCTTCGTTAACGTCCTCGTACGACCTTTCTAGAGGCAAGGGAGCGTTCGAGGTAGGGTACGCTAGATCGCAGACCCTAAAGCAAGCAATAAAGGATTTTTTTACTGTTGGACCGGCGCTACTTGTTGAAATTTTTTAAATATATTTAATTTTTATTAGTATTTTGAATTGCTCTGCGAACGGAGGATTTTTATTATTTTGTTGTCTTTAAATTGCAATTAGTTGTTCGAAACTGTAGAATTTATTTATTCATCGTATTTTTTTTTATTAAAATATTACTTAAAGTTAAAGTTCCTTGATAAGTTTTGTTAATGTTACGCGTAAAATTGGGAAGTAAGAAGAGAGGAAATTGGATAGAGAGCCTTAGTGAAGTCGGATGTTGGATCCATCATCTTCTTGGATCCATCGGGTGCATCCGCTCTGTTTTTTTCGCGTTACTTCCACGTGCTTCTTGCGACGATTAAGGACGCGGTTTGTTAATTTACGCAGGTCTTCGTTCAACCGTTCTCATAAATCCGACGCGGATTCGATTACATAAAGCTTCGTTTCGTGGCGTGGTAGAAGAATGTTTCTAAATCCGTTTCGTGCCAGGGAGGCAACGGTCGTCCGTTGACATCGGTTCTCACTCGAAGCGATCCGCTTTCAAAACATATTCAGAGATATTCTCGCCCCGAAATCGCCTTGGAAACCAGTCGTAATGGGCTATTATCGGTGCGAGAACGCGCCGAATGAGCTTGCGGTCGTTCGCAGCCTTATGCAACCAATTCCGCGTTTTGCTCTTCGTGCGGCCGGGGACACGGTCGGGCTCTATCTATCCGCTAGGCCGGCAGTTATCGGAAATAACGAGATACGCGGTACGCGCGCGCGTAAACTTCGCGAGCGAAGCGTTCGCTTCGTCTTGCTCTCTTCTCTTTTTTTCTCTTATTCTCTCACAGCCTTCTCTTTCCTGTCTCTCCTTGAAGGTCTCTCGCGACACGGCATGGCACGATGGACGGGATAGACGTGCGAGATATTTGTATAAAAGAACGGGCATTGGAGGAAGAGGAGGAGGAGGGCGCGTTCGCGGTCTCACGCGAGGAAACGTCGTCGACGAAGTAGGTCGCTGAGCAGCTAGAGATAGGGTGGATAGAGAGGCGCGAGAAAATCGAGGTAGAGCGGTTTCACTTCGGTTCGTAAGCGTTTTCAGTTCGAATAAGGCAATCGAGCAAGAGAGGGGGGGAGGGAGGGGGCAAGAACAATACGCGCGAGTATATTACTTCGCCGTCACGCGTCAATGAGACCGCATCAGATGTATAGCAACGGGAGAGAAGACAGCCGATTAACTGAATCGCGTATATAGGAAGGGCGGAACAAGGCGCGGATAATTCGTACGTCAGCGTCCCGGTTTTTTTCCTCTTTCTCATTTTCTTATTTTTTCTTCTTTTTTTTTTTAAACGCCGTTACTGACCGCGATTTATATGCGGAGTAGGGACGTAGGGACGAGAGAGCACGCGCTCGTCAGTAGCTAACGGCCCTCGATGCAGCGCGCGTTGGATGATGATCGATACTATCGTGCGCGGTAGGCGTGTTTACGACAGACATTATATCGTCTACGCGGCGTCTACTTTCTTTAGGTAGCCTCTCTCGTGGGCGTACACACGCGTATTTTTGCTCTGACATCGCGGCGTCCATCTTTCTCGATCGAAGTTATAGTAACGAAGAACGAGTTAAGCTTGGAAAAACCGATGATAGTCGATTAGGAATTCGCTGATATTAATCGTGATTTGGATATACGTAATAGGATTAAGACTCATATGCGTCACAGAAAGAATAAGATGAATTTTGTGTCTATTTTTAAACTGAACGATCGGAATAACTTTAGGGATCGTGTGCAAGACGGAGAGAGCGAATGAGAAACGCGAGAAGACAGCGAGAACGAGTCGTAGCGTGCGTGGTTCGTGTTTAGCGAAGATAGATAGACTATAACGTTTAATTTATTGCGAATTTTTTATTTTGAGGTTACCGAGAATCGACGAAATAATGCGAGTTTAAGATAATGAGACAGAGACTATGAACGAGTTCGTTGAGCGAATATGATGTATTAGACGAACTGCAAAATCTCTTTAAAGCGAACTTGCGCCGCCAGGTGTGCGATCGGGATCGAGTTGAGCGAGAGTAATATAAGGGAAGGTACATGAGGCATAACGAAATCGAGGAATGCGACGAATTCGGGTGAACGAAGAGGCAATTGAAAATCGTGCGCAATCAAGTCAGTCCGGCTATTATCACTAGGTCTCGGTACTCGTAACTAGGGAGTTGTGTGAGGTACAAGTCCTGATCGGCAGGGCGCGCGAGGTCCACCCCCATCCCCCGTACTTAACCCTTGTATTTTGTGTATGAAATGCAAGAAAGGCGAATAATAATTGAGACTCTCGAAAGAGCGTGGAGTTGAGTTTCTCCTGCTGGTGCCCCGCTGTCGAGAAATGTCTTTTTAAGAAATTTTCTTCTCTTTGATCTTAATGTTCATCAATATTGCGTGTACACGTATACGTAATATATGTGTATACGACTGACCCGTTGTGCGTCTGCTGTCGGAGACATACCGGGTGCAACGTATACAGATCCTATACACATGCACGCGTGCGCGATGTGTCATTTTCGCCGAATGAAGACATTGCGTGCACTCGTGTCTACGTCGTTATAGCGAAACGTACGCGAGAAGTACATGCATTTGCACATATGTCGTGAGACAACATATGCACGAATACATGTCTTTAAACTTCAACTTGGGAACAAATTCAAAATTATTTTTTACTCTTACACGACAGGTACGTAAAAAAACCATATGCGAGGCACCAGACTGAAGGAATGACTTTAAAGTTTTGAGTATCGGCTAAACGCGACGGCGATCTTCTCATTAAGATCGCTGTCGCAGGCAAATGCAAGGGTGTACGGAAATGGGAAGGATGGGCTTCGGCACCGGTCGATTGGAACCCTAGTTACGAGTGCCGAGCCTAGGGCCGAGAGGATTGTGAGCCTCTTGGCTTTCATTAGGTATTGTTCAGAAAGAAAGAAACACACAAATGAGAAGGATACAGGGGAAAAAGGAAACAAGAAAGAACGACAAGAGTTACATGAGAGATACAACGATGCATTTTTTTCCTGTTTTTATATCACGACAAACGCGTAGGGAAGTAATTTTACAAGGATCAATTATTTCTGCGCGGCAACTTTTACATCTGATACGGAGATTGAATGATATTGATTATTAAATCTATAAGTCGATGACCAAATCGATAATTTTTTATTGTCGTATATATAAATCAAGAACTTTTATGATTTATGATCGATATTTGTTGGAAAAATCGTTTAAAATGCAACGTATGCATTTTTACCTTTTTCTTTTAAATGCCGCGCTTAAATGATCGATTCGTGACGGATAATTTTGTTGCGCATGCAGGATCTTCGGAATGTTGACGGAATGGAACAGAAAATTCGTTATAGTAGCGCGAGTTACGTATGAAGAAGATAAATTTCGCGCTGAGAGATTAAAGATAAAAAAATGCAGAAAATAACGTGAATACTTAGTGCCATAGGTTGCAGTGTGCGCGTGTTCGCACCGAGACTGTGTACTTAATTAAATACTTAATCAAAAAAGATCAGTTTAGTGTGTAACTCGAACATGAAATACTCGATATTTTTAGTGCTCAAGCATAGACATCGTTACCACATAATCAAAACAAGAAATACGTTCTTCTTCCTTTTTATTAATCTGTTCAGATTATTTTCATTTTTTTTTTTAATTGGTGAGTAGTATGGTCGCGGAAATAATGTGATGTTTTATCGCGTTTCAAATTTTATAATATTCTTTATGTCATGCGTTTTGTTTCTGCGCATATTTTTCGCGATTTTGTGAGAAAAACTTGTCCGATGAAGAATACTCGTCGATATGGTCGGTTGGTGCGCATCTTGCACGACATCCGACGATTATTTTCATCGCGGTGCGAGATTGCGAGCTACGAAGAGCGAGAAGAAGGGAGCAGATTAATTTTATCAGGATTGCATAACGCAAACGCGGTTGC